GATGTCTCCCACCCGGGACGCCATAGTCAGGATTCACTTCAAAGTTTTCGCTGACTTTGATGTCGAAAAACGCGTGGCAATAGTAGTTGATCTCTTCCTTGTTATCATCCTTGAGATTGAAGTGTCCATAGATTTCAATTTTCTCATGGTTATGCAACGTGCCAAAGCCAAGGATCTGGCCCTGCAGCTGGTTAACCTCATCGGGTTTGACAGCTTCGCATAACTGAACGATTGCGTCAACATAGGTAGCCGCAGCACCAAGCTCCTGTCTTAGTCCTTCATCCCATTTGCCGTTGAGGGCCTTCACCTCACACACGAAGAATGGGAAAGACAGCCCTTCCGCGAACATTGCTGGTCTTAAGTGATTGTAATTTTCTAGTCTTCTCAGTTCCGTTACGGTGAAAACTTTCGGCTTTAAATCGAGAGTGATGTCCGGCCTCGGTCATTTTCCATCCGACAGTCTCCATTCCCAGTCAACATCAGGATAATCCTCGATGTTCGTCATTCCAGGGCCCTCATCGGTCAGTATGTCAGCGGGGTGTGGCAAGAAGAGTTTGGTCAACTTTTGAACAAGGTAGGATTCGTTTAAACGACCGAATTTTTCATTCCTCTCGTCCCACGCTTCAGCAGAATCAAGCCCTGTATCCGGAACGGGCAGATAGAGACCGTTCCCATACTTGCTGTACTTTTCCAAGTTTTCCCGCTTCATCAAATTTTGGACGTTCGTTGGAAGCTGAACAATAACCTTTTTGTATTCGTTGATCGGGACTGTGGTTATAGACTCTGCAGTCCGCTTTCGGGGGTTGGAAGGTTCGCCCATGCTGGATGGCCAGTTGGATGCTAAAACCCAATGAGCAACGGGGTCATCCGGACCGCTTATATCAAAAGAACGAATCGAAAGACTTGTAGCAAAGCGTTTCGGGGATCTGTCCGACTCTGATAATGCGTCCCCATCGCGCTTCCGTTTGGTACCGACGATTGCAGCTATCTGGTCGGATCCTTCCATGCGATGTGCCTATTAAGATTTGGGCGTTTAATGATAGGCCACGAGGTTTCGCTCAGGCGCGCACTTCAGCACGTTTGGATCAGATGAGATTGAACTGCGACGCGCCGATCGCGCGCGGGTAAAGTGCGCAGCCATTCCAATTGGCGGCACAGACAGCAAACGACCCGAACCTACTCCACACTACCCCACCTTTATGGACCGGGATCAATCGAGCGCAGCTGCAGTCATTCCCAATTGGATGGGGTGGCAGGATGCAAAATTGAGGCGCGACATTCATCTCAGCCTGATGACTTCAGGTCTAGGCTCATCCTTCATGTAGCTCCGTAACTAAAGAACTAATTCGTGGGAATAAATTCCTACTCCCCACTAGGGGTTGAAATGACATTCACGCATCAACCAAGACTATCGAATAGGCATGCGAACCTGCTGTAATGCCTGTAGTGTGGTGCAGAAATCGTCCAATAAAGTCTGATGTGCAATGAGTTCTTCCAACCTACCTTTGCACTAACGTAGAGACTTGCAAAAAAGATCCCATTGGTAGAATTTCTCATCCCCGAGAATATCTTGCTTGTCAGTCTCTACGGTGTGATACACCACTGCGTGCACACATTTTGCTAACAACCTCATACTCGAATAACATCACGCACAGCCAATGTACATAGCCATAAAAATCAATCCACTGAAGAGCCCATGTTCATACGATCCGTTTCATCTGCGCTCATCTCCCGGGGTCCATTCCAAAAAATGCACATTCGCAAATCTGACGCCAATGCATCCTGAGGTTTCTTACCCATCATTAACGAACCAGCTTGAGTGATTGATGAACATTGAGGTGATCTAAATGCAGAATTCTGGTGGTATGAGATATACATATGAACCGTCAAAGATGAGCAACCGTGAAGCCAGGCTCAGTCATCTGCATGGTAGTCGCCGAATTCAGAGACCTTGGACCCGAGTCAACAGGTCGCAGGATGGTTTTCTCCATGTTCTGACTTGAGCCACCACGAGTAATGTCGGCAGAATGCTTGTCAAATCTTCCCATTGCAGAAGAAGTGCTCTCGCATCTAACTTTTCACAGGTGCCTTCGCCTCACAGACCTCCTTTGCATCATGAGATAAGTTATCCAACACTTCACAGCGGCGGCAACACCTCCCTACAAATCGGGCACTGCAGACGAAACTTCATCCATCCCTCCAAACAAGCACTATGAAAAATATGGCGACATGGAGTGACCATATAATTCCTCCTCAGCCCCCGGGCCAAAAGCCCAGTACCCATCCGCGAGCTCTCGGATCCAGATTGAGCCACCGGTACCGCAAACTCCTGCATACAAATAGCGCAGTCAAACACCCTCTCCCCGTTCTTGACATCTTTAGCTAGGGATGCGCATCTGCCGGTAGCAGCAGGCGTGTTTAGACTTTGCACGGGAGACAGTGGCGTCGATGGGGTAGCATCGGACCATCCCACGGGCATCGTCACACCTTCTTCGTCGTCTCGAAGTAGCGGATAATAGTCGTACGCGGGCGGGACCCAAGACTGCTTGACGAGCCAGCGGGGGTCGAGGAGTTCTTGAGAAGCGAGTAGGACAATTTGAACCCACATCCACAGTGCTAGGAATGCCATCGTCCATGGTCGTGGTTTGGTGAATAAGACGGTTTGAGGGTAGAGGTAGAAGTAAGCGATGGGGACAAGTCGTAGGACGCTTTGTCCAAGGACAAATTCCCAGGTGAGTGCCCGCCGACAGTTGCGGTATGCGTTTCGGTAGATCTGGGGAATCCAAAAGGAGAGATAAAGGGTTACCAGACTTGCGAAGAATCTGCTTCGTGGCACGGGAGACCACGAGATGGCGTTCAGGGTGAGGAAAAAGACAACTAGTAGCACGAAGTAGAAGCGAGCGTATAACGAGCCGAAGCTTGCTGTACGGGGCGCCACGGTGTCTTCCGGACCAGCATCGGCCGCAGCCACAGGGGCCAAGCCTTCCTGGTCAGAGGGCATGAAAACAGCTGGTTCATCTTGCTGGTTACTGGGCGAAGGGGATCGCTCGGCTGATTGAGAAGATCCCGATTCTTCCAACGCAGCTTCCAGCCTCTCACGGCCTTGTCTGATTTCTTCAGCTCGCTCACGAGCACGTCTTTCCCGCTCAGGCGCCTGGGCATTCCAGACTTCCATCATGAATCGCATCCCGAAGAAAGCAATGCTGACCAATGCCAGGAAGGCAGCACTAGCTAGGTTGATCCAGACATGATCTAGAAGACTGCTCAGCATGATGAAAGCAATCGCTGCAAAGCCGTCTCCCATTCCAAGCATAGCAATTGTGTAGTAGCTGATCCGACTCCGCGTTGACGGCGTATTGGCCTCGCGCATTTGACGAGTCAACAGCACAAGTTGACAGCCGATCGAAGCACCGAATATGAGTAAGTGGTGGCGGCCTCGGTCATACAGTACTTCATTCTTGGCGCCTACAAGATGGTTCCCTTCCTGAGGCGCAAAACGAGGCTCCCCTTTAGACTCCAACACATAGCCACAATCAGGCGAAAAGGCCAGCATGGAAAAGCGAAGGTCAGGGAGCGAGGGCATAATTGCGCCCGTCGGGGACCGAAGTTCACTTTCCAGAAAACTGATAGGGACCGTGGTGGTTGTGGTTTGTTGCTGCAAGTACACGATGAGCTCGCAGTTTGTGCTATCCAAGAAGTTTTCTGTCTCACTGCTGCGAGAAGCCCAAGGATTTATAGAGGTGATCTGGCCACTGTCTTGGGCTTCAACGACTCTAGAAATGGATACATTCAGCAAAGCACGCGCACCTTCAAACATGGTGCTAGTCAACGCAAAATGAGGCAGCATGAAGATTCCCGCAAATTTATTACTCGTGGTGCTTAGGATTATTTGCCCAACATCCTTGAAATGAACTCCGTATAGTTGGATGGAATATTCCGGCCCAATATCAGTTTCTTGCAAAGCCATGTCCGCAGTAATTCCCGTGACATTTGACCATCCAACCAGTCCTTTTTCCAGGTCTTTCTCATGAAATCGAAAGCGTGCTTGGCCGTAGGAACTGGTCATATTGCGACCGAGTTTTCGAGGCGAACGATGTTCTTTGGTGCCATAGTGCGTCAAGTTTAGATGTGGAATCGTAATGTTCTTCTGCACGTCTGAGTGTACCCACTGACCGAGTACATAGCCCGTGATATTGCGGAACAAGGGCGTTTCCGTCTTTCCATTCGCTAATGCTCGTTCGCCATCTGCACCAAGAGCATAAAGGAATTGCTCTTTGGCCTGTTGGCGGACCTGCGGCATTGCACTCCAGACGTAACCATTGTCTGCTTCCAGGCCCGTCAAGTTTTTCGGTTCGCCATATGTCGCATTCTGTAAAAGGCCCAGCATTCGCCGCTCGGTCGCGATTACATGTTCGGCCGTTGGTAGATCATCGGTTTGATTGAGTGCGGACTTCCCTCCATTATCCGGGAGAAGAATGAATATGAATAGAAGTAGCGCGAGTACAATGGCTCGTCGGTCGGCCATATACCGCTCATAGGCTAGATGACAGTTGCCGACTACTGACGTCAAACGGGGCGGCCCGCGTTCGCGGACACTCTGCTCTGTCGGGACTACACGCAGCTGCTCCTACGGCGCCTGATACTCTGTACAAAGGTGCTGAGTGTACAATCGTCCAGTAAAACGGCTCAGTTAAAGTTGCAAGATAGCCTCATGCATGTCGCAAGGGACGATCTACGATGACTAATCGGTCACATGCCAGGGTTTGCAGACTGCAGCGAACAACTTCGATGTCACTCGCATGCCGAATCTCTTCTCGGTATTGCTGAGATTGTGAGTGTGCATCTCTGTGTGTGAGGAAAGAAGGATAGTTGGCCTTTGCTCAAATTCGCTTCTCTTGGCCCTTCGTTCCAAGTCCAAGCCCGATCTGAAACTCCGTCCCAGTCTGGCATCAGAAGCTGAAACAAAGACCTGATGCAGCAAGTTTGAAACGCAAAAAAAGAGCCCACGCACCGGTTCGAACGATGGACCTTAGGATCTGCAATCCCACGCTCTACCACTGAGCTACGAAGGCTTTCTATGCATGACAAAGTGTAATTTTGGTCTTATATACGTGGAAACACAATTCGAGATGACGCTACGGCGCTCACTATGCTATCCTGATCATCCTGCCACGACACGCCTGCTCAGGGGCTTCGACGTCAAGTTACCCTATTCAAAAGTTCTCTTAGAGAAGTCGAGTCGGCTTACGATCACATATGGAAGAAAGCGATAAAAGAGAGAGACATCAAACCCATAATTCCTACAAGACAAGCCAACGCCTTCATCCTGATCCTGTTAAGAGCGTTTCTCATCCAATTACCTGCCCTTCCTCTTACGCATCGCAACATTCGCCTCATACTTTGCAATAAGCATTTTCAAACCAACGCCTTTCTCCCCATTCTCCTCCAGCCACTCCTCCATCTTGCCTCTACATCTGCCCAGGCCGTTTAAGAGAGGCATCTTCCCATTGTCCTCATCCTTGGCAAAACTGAGCGGATTGAGTAGTAGGTCAAACAGCTCACCCCATAAAGCCGTAGACCAGTACCTCTTGAGCGACTCTTTGATCTTCTCCCTCCTCTCCCCTCCGAAACCCTCATCGTCCTTTTCTACAACCACTTTCGTCTCAATATACTTCCCAAACAGAAGCATGTAGATGACACCGGCAAGGGCGTGGTAATCAATCTGCCAAGTCCAGGGCCTCAGCTCTCTCATCTCCCTGCAATCTGCCATTGACGTTTTCCAATCAGCGACAAACTGCACGTCGGGCTCAAAAGCCCGCATATCAATACTCCTCCCAAAATCAATCAACAAAATCCCTTTACTCGCCCACCCATGCGCCCCAGAGGGGAAATATCTGGGCGACCAATCGACCTCAGAGCCGGGATCGTTGAAGCGGACGAGGACGTTATCGCCCTTGAGGTCGCCATGGATGATGCCTTGGCTGTGCAAAGCTTCCACGGTGCGGAGCAGCTCTACAGTCAGGAACATGGCCATGCTCTCGTCGATGCTACCGCTGCCACCTTCACTGCGTGAGCTGTTAACCAGATCCAGCAGCGTGCCCTGTGACAGATAGTCTTCAATGAGGAAACACTCGTCGGTGAAGGAATGGAACTCGTAGGCAGAGACAATGCTACGCATGGACCGTGTCGTGCGTAACCGCTGCGCTGCTTGGCGGAGGATGTAGAATTCCCATGGTGAGGGAGGGTGTTCCATTTTCATGGCCTCGAGGCTGCGTCTTCTAGAGGTTGTTTGATGAGGGTTTGAATCGATTTCCTCGTCTGGTTGGGGATTTGTGCAGAGGTAGACAGGCGCAAATGTCCCAGCGCCGAGTTCGCGTTGGATTTTGTAAGGTGCCAAGGCACCTGGGAGGACGATGACGGGTGCGGAAATGGTTGCGTCGCGGTTGGGTTTTTGTTGAGCTTTGATGAACTTCTTGATTTCACCGCTGCGGCCGGAGACAGTGTTGTGATGTATGTAACCTGGGTAGGAGGAAAGTGGGGGTTCGATTGAGGAGAGAATGGTTTTATGGATGGCATCGTCCATCGGATTGCATTGGCGTTCTGTGATGATAGGCTTGGTAGCTTGGACCGGAGCTGGTGAAGATTCAACTGCCATGGTCTGAGACGAAGCGGTCCCTGCTCCTAGAGCTATGGTCCCTTTGGTGCTTTTCGTGCGGATGGGCAGGAGAATGTTGCGATTTAGTGATGGTAGGGGAACCGTGTCCTCCAAATTGCTGTCGTCTAATTCGTGTTCTTCAATCACTGGAGCTTGGCTGCGGCTGGGAGTTTTTGAGTCGAGATATTCCTTGTCTACGCGCACCGTAGCTACGCCAAATGAGGATTCGGTCTGCTCAACAATGGGTGTCAAGTATGTGAATCGTTGATTGGATTTGAGATTTGCATCTCGAACTTGAGTTGCAGGTGGCTCGTAGTCTTCCGGTGGTATGGCGATTTGACGAGTCTTTGGCTCAACGTCCTGGGGCGTGAGAACTTCTTCTTTTCCTTCTCCTGACCAAGTGCTCTGTACCGTGTCGTCCTTCAACTTTGGGACGTGTTTGGTTTGTGAAAAGTCAGACCAGCCAGTTACATCTTCGTCTTCATCGTCATCATCATCTCGAGGCTGAGCTCTACCAAGCAGCTCTCTCTTCGTTTCGTCGCCGTACTCGCTCGTAGCAGTAGACAATTTGCCTGTAGCTGTGCTTTCATCCCCTGTCGTGTAGTCTTCTTCATCGCTGTCTTCTTCTTCCTGTTGTTGTTCTGCGTGGGATGCTAATGGCTGATTAAATATACCATAAATCTCGTCCATAGCTTCTTTGGTGTTGATGGTCATTGTAGGGTCTGCACGCTCGGCTGACTTTATCCGCTTCGGCTTCGACCTCGCGGGCGAGTCCATGTTTAGCTGGATAACTTTGGTCTCATTACTGACCTCCATCAGATCCATCTTGAGCTTACGCGTCCGATTTTGTCGTTCCTCACGACGCAATTGTTTCTTAGAGATGGCATCCCGCTGGGGCGGTGCATTCTCATCGTTTTCGCCGTTGATTTCTTCCATCAATCCTGCCTTTTCGGCCTGCACTGGCTTAGAAGTCAAGGTTGGATCCTGGAATATGTCAAACCCGCGCCTTTGCTTGGGTTCTTTCGGAGACCAGTCCTGATCCAACCAGCCGCGATGTTGTGCACGTAATTCTTCGAAGCAGTACTCTCTCCGAGACCCATCGACCTCGGGATACACTGTTTCCAGGTTGACAAACACACAATCCATCCTACCGGTTTTGGGATTCTGCATGCACTGTGAACTGGGCTTGCCAGACCAAAATTTGGGGACGCGCGAGGCGGTTTTAGACTGTATACAACGCTATTTAGTCCTGCAGTCGTGAATATGACTGTTGCCATTGATGGGAATGAACCTACCTCGTCTTTGAAAATCATGAGCTTGTGCATGCCACCGTTCGTCTTGCCTCCCTTGAGCGTTTCTCCAGCCCAAGGTTTGGCTTCAACGCTATTCTCCTTCTTTCGCGAAGCCAGTGTCCCAAGATTATCCCAGCTGGCGCCCTCAGTTGAAGCCGGTCTCGATTCATCGCTGTCTGAGAATATGGCCATTTTGGATTTGTTCTTTTTGGGTGCTGGTGCGCGGGATTGCTGAGGCGCGGCAGGAGATGAGGCAGAAAAAGGGTCGACTTTGGCTGCTAGAGCGGGTCGCACAGTTGGAAGAGCGGGACTCGTTGGCTCTACTATGCCGGCTGGCCTGGACTCTTTTCTGCGCTCGAACTCGCCGAATTTGCGCAATAATCGAGCCGTTGGCGTGGCTTCTTTCTCTAGCCCCAACCTGTACACCTCCTCTGCTTGCTGCCATCGGCCTGCAGTCTCCAGCCAAGAGGCGAACTCTTCATAGTACAACGCCAAATTCTCTCCTATGCCATGGCGCGCCAGAAAGACAAAGACCTCGCGAGGCGCATCGGAAAACAATCGAATGTAATGAAGCCACAGCTTGAGATAGCGTGGATCATTCTTATAGCGGGCTGATGACTGAAATTCCTTGGTTCCTCGCTCCAGCAGTGGAAGCAATCGTGATTGCGGCGTTGCCTGTGCCGACGGATAGGCGTCGAGGGTCCATTTGACATAACGATCGTAAAAATCTAACGGGTCATCCGCCTCATCAATCGTCGCAAGCTCTTGTTCGAACGGAATGCGCGCCGCCGAATTTGCGTCTTGCATCAACGAGGGCGAGGGAGTTGCATTGAGCGGAGGGGAGTAGAGTTGAGCAAGAGCTCTTGCGGAACGTCCGCTAGGTAGTGCTTGAATATTCTCCTTGTGCGATTCTATGACGCTGAAATCAATTAGGTCTTCCGAATTGGCCATGCTGGAGTGTCGATTGTTCCTTTGCAAACATTCAAGGGATTCAAACGATGCGCGACATGGCGCCTGGTTGCTGGGACAACGGCCACGCGGCCCGCGTATAGCGAGCGCATCCACGCCTTCCCGTTTGGTCAAGCTAGATGCAATTCTAGATCATGCAGCAAGAAGTATCGGATGAAGTGACTTCGATCAACTCCATCTACGGAGAAGGAACAGTGAGCCAGCTACAAGAAGAATCGTGTATTTTTGCTCTAAAACTTCCTTCACAACCAGATATCAGCCTTCGATTGAAGTTTCCACCAAAGTATCCTGGTGCCCCACCCTCAATCCTAGGTACTCAGCATGTGGGCTCCGCATTTGCCAAAGGAACAGGTACAGAGGTGGTTGATCTGGTACGGCGTGTCCTTGCAGAAGTCTACACTGCTGGGGTGCCATGTCTGTACGATCTCCTCGAAGAATCGAGTTCGAGGCTTCAAGACCTCGTGCAAGAACGGCGCTCCAAAGATGAAAATTCATCCGATGCTCAGAAATTCAACGGTGCGCCCGGATCACCCATTCTCGGGCCAGATTTATCTCATGGTTCACAGCTTCCTGCAGAGCTTGGCGAAGTGCCGCCTTGGATCTTATCAGACACTGTCATAGAGAAAAAATCAGTATTTCTTGCTCGTGCTGCAGAAGTAACTTCGACGGATCAGGCTCGCCGCTATCTTGCGCACCTTCTTACAACGGACAAGAAAGCGGCTAAAGCAACACACAACATCACCGCCTGGCGCATTCGGGGCGGAAACGGTATTCAATATCAAGATTGCGATGACGACGGAGAAACAGCCGCTGGTGGGCGTGTACTTCATCTGCTAGAGCTTATGGACGTTTGGAATATCATGGTAGTGGTAACACGTTGGTACGGCGGTATACTATTGGGGCCCGACAGGTTTCGAATTATCAACCAGACAGCCCGTGATGCAGTTGCCAAGGCGGGATTGGTACCAGAAACAGGCTTAGGCAAAGGCTCGGGAAAAAAAAGGGATAAAAGAGGTAGAGCCCAAGCCTGACAGGCCCCAAGAAGCTGGCCATCTTAGTAGACGATAGAGCTGGGGATGCCTATTGAAGCTGCCCAGAGTGAGAAGAAAGAACATACATTTCTTGTCGCCTCTATCGATGGCCTCCGGGAAGGTGT